CCCCCTGGGGGATGATTTCTCGCTTTCTATCTCTCTGTCTCTCTCTCTGTCTGACAAGTGCACACAACCTATAGCAAAAACCTCTCCAAAAAAAAAAAACTGATACACATAAGTGCCCCAAAGAAAAGCTCTTGAATGATGGTTTGATCCATGACTTGCTCTTTTCAGAAAATATCATTTTCACTTAAAAGAATGACTGAAAAACTATGGTTATGGAGTTGGGTATTTGTGAGATATTTTCTCAGAATTCAAAGAAGTGAGCCTGTCATTTCAAGGAAAACAATAGACAGTGTTTATTGCCAATGATAAAAGTGAGTTTCAGGGCCGGCTATGGTGTGGTGGTTAAGGTGGCTGGATCCCACATGGTCAGCTGCACGGTTGAGTCCTGGACCTGGAGGCTTGAGGAACATGCTGGGCATGTGTGCGTGTGTGCCTGAGGTCCCAAGACGAGGAAGTGATAGAGGAAAAGGGATTGTGCTGTGACCATTCCCCATGGAGGGTGCTTTCTCATTTTCTCTCTCTCTCACTCTGTCTCTCTCCAGTAAGCACATGTGCCTTTGGACAAAATTAAAATGAAAAAACAAGAAAGATGAGCTTTGAAGTGAAAATTAGCATGAGGGAAAACTTGCACCCAGCACTATGGCAGCTTTGTACGCTATGTCTACACATCTTTAATACAGCTCCCCTCAAGAGGCCGTTAGTTTCCCTCCCTTTGGTTGTTTCTAGTGACTAGAAGGTGGCAGAAGGAAGGAGCTGTCAGACCAAGGTTAGGTTATAAAATGACTGTGGCTCCCGTCTTGAGTGGGCTCACTTGTTCTCTCTCTCTTTTGAGTTACTCTCTATGGGATCAGCTAGCAGGTTGTAAGGTGGCCCCGGGAGAGGCACACTCCAGCAGCCTATGGAGAGGCCCACAGGGCAAGAAACCGAGGCATGCCAGCACCTGTGTGAGTGAGCGTGGCGCTGCATCTCCTGAAGACTGCCAAAGGCACGTGAGTGAGCTCGGAAGTGGACCATCCCTTAGTCGAGCCCTAAGGTGGCAGCAGCCCAGCCAATGCTTTGATTGCAGCCTCTTGAAAGACCCTGAGCCAAAACCAGACACTCTGATTTCTGACCAAAGAAACTGAGATGATAAAGTTTGTTAGTTTAAACTGCAGAGTTTGGGATAATTTCCTAGTTAACAATAGACAATATAACAGGTTCTCAAAACTTGAAGTTAAAGACTTTTCTGATAAGAACGGTGGTGATATTAACAAAGATTTGTTTTTTGGGGAGGTGAAGAGAGGGGTTGCTATATAATAAAATATGTCAACGGAAGATCTGCATAACTCAGAGAATTAATATAGCCAAATAATCAATTCATGATATATAAAAAAATGCATTAGTTTAAAAAAAATTCAAAGTGCAAGATGGAAGAGCACATTTTAATGTACCAGAATATGAAACGTTAATTAGGCTAGCCTAATTGCAGAGTCTGCAGCATACTGGACTGCAGCGCTGGAAGACACATGGCTAACGGTGGATTTGGATCGCCAGGTTGGCCTGAACACACACCATGCATGGGTGTGGATGCCCAAGATCCCAAGGAGCCGAAGGGCTGGGGAAGGTGGATCACAGTGTGACCAGAACCCTGTTGGGAGTTTTCTCTCTCTCTGTCATGTGCACATGTGCTCTATCGTTTAAAAAGAGTTCATTGAGGGGCTGGCAGGTGGCGTGGTGGTTAAGGCACTGTGCTCCCACATGATCGACCACAGTTTGTGTCCTGGACCTGGTGGCTTACTTTCCCACTTGCCCTCTTTCTCTCTCTGGTCAAATTTAAAAATAAAAATAATAAATAAAGGTAAAGAAAAAAAGTTCATTGATAGTTTCTATATTAAACAACGCTTAAAAAACTACCACTGGGGGGGGGTGTCCAGCAGGTGGCGTGGTGGTTAAGGCACTGGAATTCCCACATAGCCGACCACAATTCAAGTCCCAGACCTGGCAGCTTGCTTTCTCACTCTCCCTCTCTCTCCCTCTCTGTCTTGTCCAGCAAAATTCATGTGAAAAATAATAATCATACTAAATAAATCTTTAAAAAAAAAAAAAAAACTACCACCGAGACTAGCAGGTGGCATGGTGGTTAGGGCGTTGGATTTCCACATGGTCAACCACCATTCAAGTCCCGGACCTGATGGCTTGCTTTCTCACTTTCCTGCTCTGTCTCTCTGTCCCTCTCTGGTCAAATTTAAATAAATAAATAAATAAATAAAGTTACATAAAATAATTTTTTTCATAAAATAATTAAATTTTTTTAAAAAAACCTACCACTTATGGAATACTGGGAAGGGCATTGCACATGGCATGAATACCAGGAGCCAGGGATCAGGGGTCACGGACCCATCTTAGAGGCTGCCTACCACATGCACTCATAAATATTTCACACATTTCCTAGCACTCATTTTAAACAGGGTAATTATCAATAGACACAGCTCAAGTAAACAAAAGCTACTTGTGATTCTCATTAATGTGTAAGAGTATAAACAGATTTTTTTTTTTTTGGAGAGGTTTTTGCTATAGTGTGCATGCGCTCACCAGAAAGACAGAGAGAGACAGAGAGACAGAAAGCGAGAAATCAACCCCCAGGGGGGATGGCCACACTGCAATCCCTTCTCTTTCATTTTCCTCTTGGGATCTTGGGCACGCATGCATATGTGCCTGGCATGAGTGTAAGCCACCGGGTCCAGGACTCAAACCACGGTGGACTACATGAGTCCAGCGATGTAACCATTATGCCAATTGCTCTCCCTAAACAGATTTTTAAGACTGCTATTCAAAGATGAACGATATTGGCTTTTCATGTGGAAAGATGGCAGGCAGTTGATAATATTTAGGAGTTGATAATACATGTCTAATTTTAAATTTTTCATAACAATAAACTCTTTTCCTCCAAATACTAGTATGAGGAGGCTTTCAGAAAGCTCATAGAAAATGTGTATTATGAAAAAACTATGCATGGCTCTCAAAACATTCAGCATCAAAATAACTCATATTTTAATTCCGTTTTCCGTGAACTTTTTGAAGACCCCTTATAGTTACAATAGTTCTAGAAGATACAGAAATGCATGTTTAAATAGAGTAGTAGGGCCAGCCCAGTTAAGGCTGCTGGATCCTGCATGGCAACTGTGCTGTTTGAGTCCTGGACCTGGTGGCTTGAAAAACACGCTGTGTGTGTGTGTCCACCCGAAATCCTCAAAAGAGAATGGAAAAGAAGGGACTGTGGCATGGCATCCCCCATCCTGGGAGGGTGCTTTCTCACTTTCTCTCTCTGTCTCTCTCCAGAGAGCACACATGCCCTATAGCCCAAATAAAAGCATATTTAAGAGTGCTTAAGGAAGATGACTGCTGACATTTATGGACTTTTCTATCTAAAAAAGCATTAAATGCATAAGGATATGAGTATAGAACTATGATTAAACACAAACCAAAATATCATCCAATGAGGTCACAAGTAAAAGCGATTTTATGTGTGGTAGGATTTGCCTATTCCGTCATCCTCTGTCATTTCACCATTCTCCTTCCAGGTAGAGGACCGGTAAGAAAAGGCAGGAAGGACTTTGTTAGCACAACACTCAACACCAGTTCCACCGGAAGTGCGGGAAACGCTCACATGGGGAATGCCGGCCTTGTACATTTGTTCATTCTACAGAACGCCCCCCCGGGGGGAGGGGACTGATGGAAAGTGGAGAAAATCCAGTGGGGAGCTAGGACTTCGAAATGGGTCCGTGGACAGCATAGCCAGAGGGTGCAGGGAGTGCAGAGCAGGGGAAAAGGCAGAGGGAGGGGGTACCAGGAGTGCTCTGGGTAGATTCTGGGGGCCAACCACTGTGACGGACAGACGTGTTTCATATCTCCTAGGCTTGGAGAGTGCATGTTCGTCATTCTCTAGTAAGATTTTCTTTCCAGGGACCTGCAGGTGGTATGGTGGTTAAGGCCTGTCTGACTCTCACATGGCAGACCATGATTTGAGTCCTGGACCTGGTGGCTTGCTTTCTTACTTTCTCTCTCTCTCTCTAGTGAGTATACATGCCCTATAGCAAAATTTTAAAAATAGTAAATATAATTACATAAATAATTCTTTTAAAAAAGATTTTTTTTTCAGACAGTAGCGTAAACTCTCTAAATATTAAGGGCATAATTAGTTTCAGCATTCGGGTCACAAGGGAGAGGGGCAGGTTCTGTTTTGGTTTAGGAGAGGTGGGTGTGGAGTGGAGGAGGGGTTCTCAGGCAGGGGTTCACTGTCTTAAGGGTTAAGGACAGTGCAAGAGCTGGCCTTGGGCAGGTTTTGCATGCCAGCAGAATCCTCTGATGAAGAATTCGCCTTCCAAACAGCTCCCATGAACAGACTTCAGCAGCCACAGCCTCGTGCTTACTGAAGAAAATGGTCTAGCCGCACTTGAATATAATACCTTCAAATTCAAGTGGGGTTGGAGTTAACCTACTCTCAACTCTTGCACGCTAAAATTCCACTAGATTGTCAGTTAACCTACTTGATACCAATTTCCCCCAGGTTTGATCAGGAGAAAAGAACGGTCCTCGAGAGTAGGAGAGTACTAGGAGGGTAAACAGTGAAGAAAAATGAGATGGGCTTATGAGGACGACAAGCCGGACTTGATGGTTCTGCCTGGGTATGACCCAGCGATCCTCATTTGGGTGAGGGAAAAACAATCTGCTCAGAGGCTTTCTGAATTAGCCACTGGTTTTCTTTTCCATTTGGCATCATATGTGAAGCAGTTCTTTTCAAGTGCATGCCAGCTCTTTTCAAAGAGATCTTTGTTCTCAGACGATCCATTAATTGAAGTATCACTGCAGAATTTGGGACAAAATTCCATTGATATTGCTGGCCTCCTTACTGTGGCTCCTTTTTCAGTCCCCTCACTCCTCCTCTTACGTCTCTCCTTGCCAGAGTGGTCTCGGAAGATTCCATCGGGAGTTCTCAGAGGCCATTGTGCAGTAACAAAGAATTCCTGCAGTGAGCTGCAGTTCTGTCCTTGCCTCGTTCCTGTTCCTGAGGGAAGGCCCCCTCATGCCTCGCTGATGGAGGAGCGGGACCAGCACTGCCCAGGCCTGCCAGCTTGCTGAGCGCCAGGAGCCCAAGCAAGAGCTCATCATGCCAATCAAACCTGTTGGATGGATATGTGGGCAGGTGTTGAAGAACTTTTCTGGAAGAAGTATATGTAACTTTCTTGTAAAAGGGATATGGGTAGAATAAAGTCCCCAAGGGTTCCCTTGCTTTCTCAGTCTCTTAGAAGGTGAACCTGGTGGTTACATATTCTTTTGAATCATTTTGGGGATTTTTTTCTTTTGTAGGCTTTTTTTGCCGAGGGGCACATGCATTTGCTAGAGACAGACAGGAAGAAGGAAAGACAGAGATACAGAGAGAGGGAAAGTGGGAAATCACCACCCCAGGGGGATGGCCATACTACAATCCTTTCTCCTTCATTCTCCTCTTGGGATTTTGGACATACACTCACACGGGCCTGCGTGATTTTCAAGCGGCCAGGTCCAGGACTCCAACCATGGTCAGCCATGTGAGAATCCAGCACCTTAACCACCACGCCGCCTGCTGGTCCCCTTGGGGAATGTTTTTAACTTTTTTCTTCCTAATCTCTTTTTGTCTTAGTTGAGGGGATCCAGAAAGCAATCATGGACCTCATAGATGAGTTTAAAGATGAATTTCCTGCCATCCTAAGATTATCACAGTCTAATCAGGTAATGTGATGCAATAACTTTTTGAAAAGAACACAAAAATATTTTTAGTATATCAATTATTTAATGCTTAATTTTGAGATAAGTGCTTGGGGTTCAAGAAAACATTAACTTTGTCTGGAAAAACAAATTTCAAATGGGCTTATGGAAAGCAGAGAAATTGTGGACCAGAAAGAGAGGTAGATATGTGAATTAAGTTTAAAGTCAATGGCTGTGCCACTGGAAATCCGGAAGTCTCTCGGAGCCACAAATGCCATGTAGTTTACTTAAGATTTGTTTAATGTACATGAGAGAAATATCTAGATATACCTAACTAATATCTATGGCAATTAGATTGGTGCAAAAGCTTAACTGAGATCATTGTAAAACTGGAAAGATAAATATAGCATGAGTGTGTGTTTTAATATGGAAAAATAATAATGGTATCAATTTAAACAAAGTATACAAAATGTAGTTTTTTCAACATCTGTTCTAAAAGGCTTTAAAACTGATCAAATATTAGGAGTGGAGAAGGAGAGTGGTAGAGAGTTTTGAAGAGACATACAGCCGTGGAGGAAAAGCACTGTCTTGTTTTGTTAGGGGATACGCGTAACCTGCGAGCCGCACTGGAACGCACACAGTTTACACCGAAGTGTGTTTCAGTCATGTTGATCACAGTGAGAAAAGAATATGCTGTAGAGTTACATGGTACAGTAACAATCTACTTATCCGGAAATCAGACCCTTGGAAATTAAAAATGAGGTACATAGCCAGAACCTGGGAGTAAACGGAAGTCCACTCTGAATAACAGTAATCACAGAGGCCGGCAGGTGGTGTGGCGGTGGAGGCACAGGATTCCCACGTGGCCAGCCATGGTTTGCGTCCCAGACCTGAAGACTAGCTTTCTCATTTTCCCTTTCTCACTCTCTATCTCTCTCTGGTCAAATTAGAAACTAATAATAAGTAGAAGTGAATAGAAATTAAAAGAAAAAAGAAAGAAAAACATAGTAATCACAAAGTCTATATATATCATTCCAAAGGCAAGATATTAGATCTATACCTATATTATATATACTTGTTTATGTGTGTGTGTATGTATATATATATGTGTGTGTGTGTGTATGTGTATATATGTGTGTATATGTATGTGTGTATGTGTATGCATATATGTGTGTATGTATATATGTGTATATGTGTGTGTATGTGTGTGTGTGTGTGTGTGTGTATACATCCAGATAACCAGCTATCAGATTTTTATCAGATACCTATTATTGCTTGGAACTAGAGAGAGGAAATACAGTGATTAGGACATGAAGGTCATGATCCCTTTAGCCAATGAGTTTAATCTAATGGAGACAGTTGTAAACAAGTAATTGCATTAGAATATGCTGTATTGTAGAGGCCTATCTAATTTGGAGGAGTGAATGACTCTCCCCAGAATGGCCAGAGAAAGCTTTGTAGAGGAAAGATGTTTAAATGGTGCCCCAAAGGATGAAAATGAACTTTGCACTTTGAAAATACTTCTCTGGTGTAAGAAGGACAGATGGAATCAAAACTTCCTATAAAATTCTGTTGCAAATGACAGCTAAGCATAAGGACATTGCTGAGACCAGCAGCTGGCATAGCAGTTACATTACTGGACTCCCATATGACTGACCGCAGTTTGAGTCTCAGACCGGGGGGCTTGAAAATCACATTGGAGCATGTGTGTGCGTATCCAAGATCCTGCAAGGAGAACAAAGGAGAAGGGATTGTGGCATCGCCATCCCTCCTGGGAGTGATTTCTCACTCCCCCCACTCTTTTTTTTTAAAAAAAAAGAAGAAGAAGAAGAACATTGTTGATGGGAATACAGAGAACGGGTTAGATATAAAAGATATTTAGCATATTTTGAAAACGGACAGTGTGAGATAAGGATATGGAAAAGTTGGGGAAGACTGGATTTCTTGAGTGGTTGGGAGAAGAGCATATTACAGATTCTGATAATTTAATTGGATCACAGTTTAAGAGGCTATGCTATATTCTGTCCAAGTCATAGATTAGGGTTGTTAATTATGTAGGTTGGAAGCTCCAGAGAAGTCTGGGTTAAAGGTATATACGTAGAAGTCATCAACGCGTAGTGTATAGTTAAACCAGAATGCTGAACGTCATTGCTTAAGAGGGTAGGAATAGAGAGTCCAAGAGATGCCACCGTTTAAAGGGGTCAACAGGAAGTCAGAGGTAGGAAGAGAATTCTCACAGAGGTAAGAGTTGAATTCTATAAAAGCCAAAGGAGGGCCAGCAAGTGGCGTGGTAGTTAAAGCACTACCTTAACATGGTTGAGTGCGGTTCTAGTACCAGACCTGGCAGCTTGCTTTCTAACTTTCCCTGTCTCTCTCCCTCTGGTGAGCACGCATGCCCTGTAGCAAACTGGAAAATAATAAAAGTAATAAATAAAATTAAATAATTATTTTTTATTTATCCATTTAACTTACCCAGACACACACACACACACACACACACACACACACACAACAGGAAAAAATAATTTAAAATGTGAGAAAGTAAGAAAGAAGGCCACCAGGTCCAGGACTTAAACCGTGGTTGGCCATGCGGGAGTGTCTAGTGCCTTAAGCATCACACCACCTTCTGGTCCCTAAATAATTCTTTTTAAAAAACATCAAAGGAGGGACCAGCAGGTGGCATGGTGGTTAAGGTGTTGGACACTCCCACATGGCTGACCATGGTTCGAGTCCTGGACCTGGTGGCTTGCTTTCTCACTTTCCCTCTTTCTCTCTCTCTCTCTATATGTATCTCTCTGGTCAAATTAAAAATAAAATGAATGAATAAAAGTAAATAAATAATTTTTAAAAAGTCATCCAATGTTTAAAAAAATAAATCAAAGGAATAGAGAAAAAGAATGAAGGGATTAGCAGCTATCAGAATCGCCAGAGAAGTTAAGGATGGGAAAAATGTATATACATGTATATTTTTAAAGAATTACTTATTTAGTTTTATGTATTATTAGTATTACTATTTTTAAATTTGCTGTAGGGTATGTGCACTCACCAGAGAGAGACATAAACAGAGAGAGAGAGAAAAAATGAGAAAACTAACCGCCAAGTCCAGGATTTGAACTGCAATCGAACACTTTAACCACCAAGCACTTTAACCACCAAGCCCCCTGCTGGCCCCATGAGATATATTTTTAAAAGTTATCCTCCATGTCAATAAAAATTAAACCAATGCTAGGGACCAGCAGATGGCATAGTGATTACATCACTGGACTCCCATATGGCTGACTGTGGTTCAAGTCCTGGACCCGGTGGCTTGAAACACATTCTGGGCATGTGTGTGTGCGTGCCCAGGATCCCAAGAGAATGGAATAGAAGGGATTGGGGTGTGGGAGGATTGGGGTGTGGGGGGATTGGGGTGTGACCATCCCTCCTGGGGGGGTGATTTCTTGCTTTCTGTCTCTCTGTTTCTCTGGCGAGCCCTATAGCAAAAATCTCTCTCTAAAAAAAAAATAAAAATAAAAAATAAAAGGAACCAATGCTTAGTGGGTGAAATGGAACCTTACTCACCAGTAATACTTGCTGTGTACGTAAACTCCTGTTTAGACAAAATAGCTTTCCATTTTGTGATCTGACTAGGTGATTGTTATCTGCACAAATGATTCCAATTACAAAACCCGCTCGTTTCTAAACGCGAATGAACTGGCAGACATTCTGGCTTACCATCGAGTCACAGGAGCTTTAACTGTCCGGGCCTGCTGCGTTGCTTAGCAATGGACAGTTCTGAGACTTGGGGAACTGGCTGCTCCAAGATGTGCGCGTCTCTGCTCCTACAGACAGCACCGCTGGACTGCACAACCCCTGTACAAATCGCTCATTGTATGGGCACGGACTCCACTGCAGTTCACTGAGAAGAGCCTGTGGTAAGGCCTGGAAGGTCGTAGCCCTGGGGAAGTGACCTTGCAGTGTGGGTCATCCTGGGAAGAGGAGGCGTGGCTGGATAGGAAGCAGGACTGCAACTCCAAGGGCTGGCCTTCGGCTGTCAGGGCAGGCAAGTGCTTTCTCCTTTCCGAGCTCCCTCTCTGGGGTCTAGACTTTGAGGAGAGGCGATACTAGAGTGTAGTTTTCCCTGTGATCCAACCCCAAGACTGCGGCCACTGCGTGCACCCATGATCCCAGTGGGATAGGAGGTAGATACAGGAGGATTGCAACAGAGCAAGACCCTCCTTTAGTACAAAACAAAATTGAACTCTAGAGACCAAATTGGATTTTGTGGTTCTGTATCTTAGACTTGTTGTCTACTTTTTTCCCTCTTTTTAGCCTCCTAGCTTTGATGTAGGGTTTTGGAATATTGAAGACTTTTTTGTTATGCTGGGGAGTACTGGGGGACAGGTGGGCAGGCATCCATGCTTCGTGCAGGAGTCAAACGTTGAAGGCTTATGAAGTAGTGGCAATTATTTTATTTTACTTAAAGTTTATTTATTTTAATTTGACCAAAGAGTGAGAGAGAGAGGAAGTGAGAAAGCAAGCCACCAGGTTCAGGACTCAAACCATAGTCGGCCATGTGGGAGTCCAGCACCCTTAACCACCATGCCACCTGCCAGCCCCAAGTAGTGGCAATTATTACCAGTAAAGCCTCAAGGCAAATATTAGGAAGCCAGAGAGGCCTGGAACTGGCCTTCCCAAGCTGTGAGTCTCCTACCACTGCCAACATTAGAGAAACTGGAGTTTTATCTCATCAAAGAAGTACCACTTTCCTTACAACTCTCGTTATCTCTTTCTACATTCTAATTAGCCTCATTATCACTAGAGCTATAAGGGTGGTCTATGGGGAAACTGATATTCTGATCCCCAAACAACCGAGTTCCTATTTCCCACTCATCAAAGTAATTTACTTCGATGAAATTTACACCACTCAGAGAAGAGCATAATGTTGAAGCTACTTTTATGTTTAACTTTTAAAACACATTATTCTTTTCCCACCATTTACTTTAAAGAATGTGTTGCTGAGATGGGTTCGAAACCTGAGTCGT